CTTGATATAATTAATAATATTTTAGGTAATTACAATAAATAAAAACAAAATACATAGAATAAATTTTTAATCAATAAAATATTCCTCAAACCAATATAAAAGTAATTATTAAACCTTACTTTTAAAACATGCGATCACGTTCGTTTAAAATTAAAAAATAAATAATTTTTAAGTAATTTAGAGATTTTATAAAAAATATTTATTTTTTATAAATTTTTAGAAAGCAAGCATTATTTTATGTTTATTTATAATAATAAAAAATTAATTATTAGTTAGTTAGTTTTAAATTTTATGATATATTTTTTAATTTTAGTTTCATAGGAACAATTTATTATATTATTTTAAAATTTTATGATATTTTCATGTATCTCGCCTCTTTAAAACATTCTCTCTCATCTACCATGTTAAATTATTTTTAAAAGCTACTCAAGGTAGCTTCTAAAATAATTAGAAATTTGTTTTTTTATTCTAATTATTTTTAAAAGTTTAAACAAATATTATAAAAACTAACAAAATAGATTTTTTTTCGAAAAATAAATGATTTTTTTCATGAGATAAGTTAAAACAAACAGGCCCTAATTAAGAATATTAAATCACATGTTTTTTTATAAAGTCTCTATAAATTAGTCTTTTTGTATAAAATCTCTAACCTATCTAAAACAAACTTATGTTCCAATACAAACCACAAATAGGCCATAAATAGTTAAAGTAGCACACATAAATAAAATTAAATTCAATTATATTTAGCAAGCCTAATGTCTCTGTAATTTCATAACTATATAAAATAACTTAACAACATAAAATGAATTGGTGTTTGATTATGAGCTCATAATAATATTTTCAAATAAGTGGATTTGAATTTCAAAAATTTAGATTTAGTTCAAGGTAAATAAAAATAAGGAAACATTGCTTAAAAAAAACTTCACTAGAAATCTAATTGCTAAAATAAGGACTCGGGATTGTTTTGAAAAAAAAAAGTCCTTCACTGTTAATAATTGGTGAAAGTTAAATAACATAAACGCCCTAAAAATAAAAATAAAAATAAAAATGAAAATGAGCAAGGTCATTCGTGGTCAATATGTTGCACAACATCCTTAATTGTCAATATATCATAGGTCCTTTGTTGTCAATAATCAAACGTTAATACATAACACAAGATCCTTCGATGTCAATATGTGAAATAAGGTCCTTTGGTGTTCATTTATCAAGCCTTGAAGCATGAGGTCATTTAGTGTCAGTAAGTCATATGCAATGTTTCATCCCTGATATATGCAAATCATCTTCAATGAAGCACATGCAACCTTTTGTTGCATGATATGCAGCTGATTCTCAACTAAATGCAATATTGCTCTATATATTTGAATATCGCTTACTTAGTTACCTTATAGACAACTTTGAAAGCACATGCAACTTGTCTCCGCAATATGTAACTTGTCGTTAATGAAATATAATTTTCTTCTACATATTCAACCTAAGGCCTAAAATGCACACCTTACCTCACGTATCAAATAGTACAAGTAAATCAAAGATATATATTCTCTTAATTGGCAATACTACAATAGATTATATGCATAAATCCTTAAAATAATTGAGGCCTACAAATTGAGGGTATGAATCTTAAGCCTAAAACTATTTCCCCCCGTCTTATCCCAATAAACTAGCACCTGTAATGCTGAAAAAAAGATGAGTGAGTATAAATACTTAGTAACCAAGATATATCTAACATATACTAATATATGTTAATTAATTAAAATGCAAGTAGCAGACCATTCTCATACTAATGTCAATTTATTATTTAAAAGGCTTCATTTCACATTTCACATGGTTAATAACATGGACGCATATAATTTTATCACACGGGTTACAACATAAAAAGCCATATGCCCTTTTTTAACAATGTACATAATTATACCTTCCTTATATTCTCATTACACTTTCAACATGAAACCGTGGGTTATTACACAAGGGGCATTGTCCATGAAATAAGACTACCTCAGCCTTTTTACACATGAAAAGCTATTAAACCAAGGTCACTTGACTCGCTTGTGGGTTAATGAGATGTCATTTTTTCCAAACTAGCTTCCTTGTCCAACAAATTGAAATTATACTAGGTTTTAATCACTCGATAAACTAGTCAATTATTATACCACACATTTCACACATATATTTAGCTTATCAATAAACTCATGAATCATGCTAAATATATGTTATACAATTATATCATGCCATACTTGCATTGCAAAAAATATCACAGGTTTTAATAATAGTTTATATATTAAGGTGACCAATTAACACGTAAAAGTAAATGAAATTTTTTTCCAATGACTTGAGAAATTAAATGTTTATATCTCAATACTATACTTCCAAAGCTTCACAGAGTTTGAATGGTGCCAATATATATGATTTAATGTATAAATTATTATATTACACTCATCAATATCATGGTTTAACAGTTCGTACATGCCACTTAAAACTCTCAAAACCACAATATCTTCACCTTTACACATACCATTAGGATTTATTAATTTACTTTAGCTTGCATAAGCTTCATTAAACTCTCTAACCACTCTTTCAACCACCATATTTATAACCATTTTTTGACATTAATGTCCTCCCAATTGTCAAGACACACAAAATTACAAACCCTGCAATTGGATAATTTAAATAACTATCGTTAACTCTATTAAAGTCAACAAGATCAAACCTGTAACCTCTATGGATTAAAAATCAACTATCCTCTTTAAATCATGACTCAAAACTTTACAAAAAATTGAAGAGAAAGAAGGACTAAGGTTTGAAAAATTTACCTCTAGCATCCAACAATTTCAAAATACTCTCAATATTTCAAGATTTCAAATCCTAGCAGAGCTCCTTAGCGTTCTTCTCCTCTATCACTCAAACTCTCTCTTTCCTTTTGATTTATAGTTTTAGTCTAATCCATCATGGTAAATTCTATCATACCCTAATAAGGTCTATTTTGGTTATCTTGTCAAGTTACAAAATTATCTGTTTACATCTTTTAGCTACAGTAGACCTTCACCTTTAGTCTTTTGTTTTTCTACCATGGTTAGCTTTTTTTTAATTACAGTTGAATTCTTATTTACCACGCTAAGATGATTGGGATAGTTAATCCCTAATTATTGTGGTAGTGTATGGAGTAATGGTTAATTGTGTGGAACAATTTAAGCTTTTTACGTACCACCCTCACATTAATACCAAGATTTAGAGATATGATGGATATGCTTTTGGCATTACTTTCAATTTTAGGGATTTGTTCTTCCGCCATCAGTCCCACCTTTAATTTCTTCCCAGTGCATGGATGTTTTGATTTTCCTTTCTTTTGTTCCCAGCATTAGATGCAGTTCTTAGCTAATTTTTGCTCTTAGATCCTACTTTTGCATTTGATTTCATTTTGTTCGTGAAGGTGGATTACAAAGGGTGAATGTGATGGTTGCTTCTATTTATCAATTCAAATAGCATTATTATGAATTATGAAGGTGGATTATAGAGAATGACTGGATGTTTGTTGTTTTCCAAATGTAATCTCATTAAACATTCTAAATAGCATTGTTTATGTTCGACTTATAGAGAGGAGAGGGTGTGGAGGAGAGCACATAAATCATTACAAGATGATGACATGGTTTGTACGGCAAATATTTCTTTTTTTTCCCCACGGGTGTATAGTAGTGTTTGATGTCTGTATTTAGCTAGGTAATGAAAAGTAACTATAATAATCATTCTTGTCATTTTGCTTCCAACACCTGTCATCCAAGTTTCACCACCAAGGAATGAGAAAGTTAAGGCTAGTGAATGATAAGTATTGCTATAAATAGTTTACTAGTTCGTTAGTTGTGAAGCATATATAATAACAAGTAAATTTAGTAAATTAACAGAATTGATATAGGAGATTAACAAGTCACATTAAATGAAATGTGGGTTTGTTTTGTAAACTATACGAAGCATAACAACAAGTAAACATAATAAATTAACAAATCTAATATAGGAAATTAAGAAGTGATATTAAATAAATAACTCGAGTGTAAATCTTTATATGAATCTAGTTCAAAGATCTATTTCAATATCATGGCTAATGTTATTGTAAGTATTAGGGAAGACATGCATTAACCTTGCAAATGGTTGTCCTGTATAATTAATATTGTAAAAGTAGCATTTTAGTCTTAACAAGTAACACAAAAGAATTTATAATTGAGATTTCACAATTTATAAGTGAAGTTGAGGAAATTTACATTAATTTGAAGACAAGTATATTGTCAAACTTCACTAGACATTTTGCTCATAAAGTTAGTAATTTTATAAGTCATTTATAGACTTACACACATAAGGTACTTAACAAGTAACATTACAAACTTTACAAGTAACGTGTGACCATTTACAAGTAATATTATATTAATTTTTTCCCTTACCTCCAATCTTAATTACCAATGCACCTTATAATAAGTGAGAGAAACATTTAAACAAATACTTAGATCAATAAATACAAGGGGTAAAATGAAATTTTTTTATATGTATTACGTTGCTTTTGTTTTCAATTAAGATTAGTTGAAGAGAAATGCTTACATTTTAGATTGAAGAGTGTGGTTTTATTTACAATGAATATTGTATTAGTAATATTCTAACACTAACAATATAAGCGAATTTATAAGTAAGATTTTACAATTTATAGGTGAAAATTAAGAAAATTTACAGTAATTTAAAAACAAGTATATTATTAGACTTCATAAAACATTTTTCCTGTGAAATTATTAATTTAACAAGCCATGCATATATTTACACATGTAATACCATTCATATTAGATAAGCCTCATGCGGTGGTAAATGGAACATATAAAAATTATAAAGATATCACGAGGCCAGGTCCTATGAAAATAAAAAGAATAAAGAAATAGATGGATGGCGTGAAAAAAAAAAAAATGGGGTGTTACCTGTAATTTTGAAATACTATTTGAGTCTGGTTTAAATTTTTTTTTTAAAAAACCCTAATTTCGCCGCGTACGGACAGGTGATTGCTGTCCGGGGAAGGGCGGGGAAAATCGCGAGGCACGGCAAGCAGGACAGTCCCAACTCCCAACCTATTTGATTCACAGGTCGCAGCGATTTTACTGGTTCGGACGCTCTACACCACCTAAATGTCCATAAGCGAACACTATCAAGCCATCCGTATTGCTTGAGCAGTTAAGGTATATTACGCTTCGATATTTGCATTGGTTTTTACATTTTCATTGCCCTATTTTGATCAAGACATCGCTGGTTTGGAAGTTCTCTCTGGGCCTTGGTCCTTGTCACAGTATATGTGACACCTGTTTTGCTTCTCTTTCTGGGCTCGCTTATGCTAGTCTTAGATGTTTCTTGTGATAGACACAGCCAATGCGATCATCTACTGCGCGTATCCTAATTTCCGGACAGAAATTCAGTCATTGAAGGAATGACACAAAATGCTGAAGATTTCAAATTTACATGCCAGCAAGTTCGTGTTCTGGTAGCTCCTGTCTTGCAGGAATGACATAGAATACTGTTTTTAGTAATTTTGAAAATCTAGAGATCTAGAATGATGTAGTTAAATCTGTATACATGAAATGCCGGTGAACCAGATGGGAAGGGTGGCTTAGAATTCGCTGCCCAAGTCGAATAGCAAAGCTTCAGCTGGCTCCCCTTGTCTTGTTTTAAGTTCGTAGGCAACTAGTGTCTATAATCTTCTTAAAATCTCATTTGAGAAACCTGTTTTGCTTGTATATTGTTTTATATTTTAAATTTGTGTAACCATTCGTCTGAAACAACTAAATAGACTTTTTGTGGGTATTAATTTAGCTTTGTTGTTTCTGTTGACATTAGTAGAATCTTGCCTTCATAAGAACAAGGACAGTTAGCGGGTTGTAAATTCAAACCCATCAGCTACATATAGCTGACTTAATGATTTGAGAAAGAGAAACCATTATCTCAAGCACCTTTGCTTTTTTTCTCTGAGAAGGTTGCACTTGATGTAAAATAGTTGATCCAGTTTAGTGTGCAGTATAGTAAGATTGTGAATTCTTTTTATTGTTCATGTAAGTTTCAGATGGAGGGAAAGACTGAGGAAGTCGAAGATATTGGAAGTGCATCTAGTGGTTCATTTATTGATGATTCAGATGATGGATATTCAACTTCTGAATTAGATGACAAAGCACATCTGGAGGTGAATCATGTTGATATTTTCTTTTTTGCTTACTTTTATGTCTCAACATTTTGACGATAAATTAAAAGATGCGCTCTCTCTCTCTCTATATATATATATAGCCTTATCTGAGAATTTGCTTCCCTGATGTTAGTTAATGCTTTGAAGCTATATGCATTTATTATTGTATAAGGTTCATGTTATTTATGCAGGAACCTTTGACTGAGGAAGAAATTGAAGGTCTGATTGCTGAGTTGTTAGAAGTTGAGAGCAAGGTACAATTATTTATTATTCTACTGTTATACTTGAGTACCTATTATCACTTATTTGCATGAGTAAATACATGCATACACTCATATGCATGAGCATGCAATAGCATGCAATAGTGGCAGATAGTTAATTTGTTATGCTGTTTAATGATCCAATACATATAATCTTCTTTCATGTATTATTCCTAATTTCTGACTTGTATCTTCTCTTTATATGATATTCAACTTCTAATTTCTTTTCATAGTTTCTTCTTTCAATGAGTAAATCCTACACTTTTTTTTTTTTGGGATAAAAGAAGAATTTAGTAAGCAGAGGAAGACTTCTTCAGGCATAACAGCAGACTTGTATATTCACTTCTAGACTTTTCTGGGGCTTCAATAAGCTGTTTATTAAAAAGAAACTAGATAATAAAGCAGGTTAGCTTAAGATATCCTTTAAAAAGAAACAAGAAAACACAGGGGACATATGAAACGAGAAATAGCTATAGGGAAAAACATAATTCAAACAGCAATAGTGCTTTTGTGTTAGGGAAATGTTCAACATTTTTCTTTTATTTTTTATTTTTTTTTGCACATCACAAGGTACAAATGGAGTTTCTCTAATATTTATTTTAGGCTGCAGAGGCTCAAGAAGCTCTCGAGGAGGAGTCTCTTAACAAAGTAGGGATCGAGGTTAGGCGAGAGTTGGAGCAAACTCTTCAAGGCGATGATGTTAGATTCTCCTCTTATCTATCATTTTATGGTTCTCATTGTTTTAACTTCTGATTTGTGCGTTTTCACTTGTCTGTAGTTGGAATCTGCTGTTGCAGATGAGATGACTACTTTAAAAGAAGAGTGGGAAGCTGTTCTGGATGACCTTGAGACTGAAAGTGCCTATTTACTGGTTTGCTTCTAACTTATATACAAAAGAAGAAAATTAGTGGGGAAAAACAGGGAAAATACAACTATGTCGGAGGACTAGTTGTCTTTCAATTCAATATTCAATTCAAATATTCAAATAATATATAAAAAACAAAATAAAAGATTAAGAAATATTAACGAAGTTGGCATGTCTCCAGCATTAGCAATGCTCTTCAATCTCTCTGCAGATCTGATAGAGAGACTTCTTTAAAACATCCATGTATAGGGGTCTAAAGATGGGTCATAAACACTGCCCTATCTCACTACATGCTCATGTAATGGAGGTTCCCTTAAAAGGAGGTGCTGCTACCTGCAGTTATAGTACACATTTTGGTTTATTAGTATTGGTCCCCTTCTCTTTTTTGTTCTGTAAGCTGATACTGTGAGGTGTTTGAATTTTATGTGGTTGATATGTTTGGCAGTTCTCTTGGAGCTTTCATAGTTCTTTTAAAAATGTGCTCATCTTTTGCTCTTCTGTACATTCATATTATTTTGAGTAGGAACAACTTGATATGGCTGGTGTTGAGCTGCCAAGGCTTTATAAGTGGATAGAAAGGGAGGCTCCTAATGGTTGTTTGACTGAAGCTTGGAAAAAGAGGAATCATTGGGTAGGTACTCAGGCAACTGAAGAATTTTCTGAGTCAGTTGCCGATGCTGAGAAGTATCTACAAGTCTACAGACCTGTTAGAAGGTATGATTTCTGTATGGAAATTTTTTATCTCTGGGCCTGGCAGTATTTGGCTATAATCTTCTATGGATATTTTGTGGTGGTCCAGACGACATGGTAAATTATTGGAAGAGGGTGCCAGTGGTTTTCTTCAAAAAAAGCTTGATGAATCCAGTGAACCAGTAAAAGAAAAAGCTGAGGTAGATTGGGGTATGTTTAACAAAATATTTCACAACAGTGGTGATGCTGATGCTTCATTTGGCAGCAAGAATTGGGCTTCTGTTTATTTGGCCAGCACTCCACAGCAAGCTGCATTGATGGCACTTGAATTTCCTGGTGTCAATGAGGTGACAAATGTGCTGTGGATGTCTTTTGCCTTCCTATGTTATTTGTATATGGCTAGTTGACTTTTACGAAAAAGGGTTAGCGATACAAAAATAATGTAGAAATTCAAGATTTAATTTTCCTTTGAACTTATTATTGTTCTTAAATGGAAGCAATATTACATTGACAGACAATATAAAGGAAATAGACTTATGCTTTGATGGGTACTCAATGGGATGGGAAACCTTCCCCAAAAGCTTTCCAATTTTCTATTGAGGTGGGAGAACCATTGCACTCAATTTTCCCATAGAGTAAAGCATCTCATACTATTTAACGTGAGACTTTGTCATCTCATGCTGTCGTAGTCTCTATTGATTGGCTACCCTTGGAGAGATTATGTCCTTGTAGCTATGAAAGACATGGTGATGTAGGACAAGGAGAAAGAGGGGGAGGGGGAGGGGAAGTAGGAGAAATCAAGGGAGAAAGAGAGAGAAAGATATAAGGGAGAATAGAGAACAAATAATCTTGACACTGCTATACAAGGGAAAAAGAGAAAGAAGCGTAGAAAGGAGGGAGTAGAGAATTTGAGGGAGAGTCAGATGGCAAATGATCACATTTCTGTTCGTCAATATGCAAAATTCTTAAAACCCTAGGGCTATTTATTTAGTCCTAAGCACAGTCATTAACATTAAAATAGTAATAATCTAAATCTAAACCAACTTAGACCTCAACAAGATAGGATAAAATAGGATAAATGCTAATTTAAATTCAAAATAAGTTAAAAACCTAACTTTTCAAATGAGAATAATTAATAACACATAACTTTTAGGTTTTCCTATGCCTGACATAGGCTTTCCATTCTCCATCACACAGAATTTTGGGGGGAAAAGATGGGGTTTGGGCCTAAAATTTTGGAAGACATATGAATGAAGAAAGAAACGGAATGAGGATAAGTTGAACAAAGGGGTAAAATGGGAAAATGGCAGCAGCAGCAAATATGACTATGAGCCCATTTGTTTAAGATTAAAAATAAGTAATTTTTAAGTAGTTTAGAGGTTTTATAAAAAGAGATTTATTTTGTAGAGATTTTGTAAAAAGCAGACATTATTTTATGTTTGGTTATAATAGTAAAAAAGTGATTATTAGCTAGTTATTTTTCTTGATTTTTGTTTTATGAAAATGATTTATTATTATATTATTTTAAAATTTTATAGTATATTTGCATATGTTGCCTCTTTAAAATACTCTTTCTCAACTTCTGAAAATAATCAGAAATATGCTTTTTTTTTTCCTTTCAGATTTTGATTATTTTTAAAAGTTTAAACAAACAAAATAAAAACTTACAAAATAGATTTTTTTCAAAAAATAAGTGATTTTTTCATTGAATAAGCTGAAACAAACGGGCCCTATATGTAATGCTGTTTGTGAGGTGCTTTGTAAATGCCAGATTCTAAGCAGTATTTGTTGTATTGTCCTCTAAAGAGCATTCCTAGCGTGTGTTCTTCAATGTGTTTCAATACATCATCTCAGCTGTTTTCCTTAGCAATTTCTTTTGCTAGACTTTCACCATAAATCATGTGCTTGTTCTATTGTTCCTTAGTTTCCTGGTTAATTTTTTTGTTCTTGGAAACACATTTTATCAGGTGGAGGAGATTGATGACATTGATGGAACTTCTACCGATCCATTTATTGCAGCCGCAATTGCAAATGAAAAGGAACTAGAGCTTACTGATGAGCAGAAGAGAAAATTTAAAAAGGTCTGTCATTGTTTGGGCAATCAGTTATCATAATCCTTTATATCATGTATAGATATATCGTAACTTATGTCTGACAGTTGTTTTATATCCAATAATTATGAAGAATGGACAGAGGAAAAGTGGGTTGTTGGAAGACATTCCTTGTCCAGTGGATTTTGAACCTACATGCTGTTGTGCATTTGTGGAAAAGCTGTAGACTGTAGCAGATTAGTGGACACCAGTCGTTATGTTTTGTTGATGTGCCAGTAGTAGAAAAATTATAATACTCACGAATGACTGTTATTTTGTTGGTTAAAGATGTTCTGCAGCATATGGTTTTGCCTTAGATGCTAATTATTTTAAAGGGAACATGCTACTTATTCAAATGCCTGGCAAGTGTGTTGGTAGTTTTTCTTTTTAATTATCACTGCCAGGTATGAATGAACTAATTAATGCAGTTGAATGCCATTTTTGTTGTCTCAATTTGTACCATGCAGGGTAACAGATTTATGGACTTTTTTTTTTTAATGGGAAATTGTAGTTTAACACCTTTTTAGTTTTTCTTAGCATAGTCTCATTTTTTTTTAAACGTGAAAAAAAAAAAACATTTGATCAGCCAGGGGTATTGGCCCTGCCTCCATTTACTATAATCATATCCATATATGCCCCTACACCTTCCTTTTTATCACTGATATGATATTTCAGTGTCTCTGTGTTTACAAGTATGTCATTTCAGCTTTTTTTCTTTTTCTTTTTTTTAACTTTTCATCAGGAATCTGATTGTACAATTCTCATGAATTTGATAGGTCAAAGAAGAAGAAGATGTGATTGTTGATCGGAAGCTTCAAATCCATTTAAAACGAAGGAGGTATCAAAAGAATAAAAAACAGGTGAATTTATGATTATGTTTCTCATTTTTTTTATCCTCTGGTGTCTGGTTGACCCATAAATTGGATGATGTCATTTTCGAAGCTATTGAGGACATACTGTTGTATATTTTATTATTTAATATTTAATTTTATGAAAATAGCATGTTGTAATTGGTGGTTATTAATATCTCATATTATTTTATCCAAATAGTTTTTATTCAGAATTTCAGATTATTGATGTTGTGATTGGGTTATTAAGATTGGTTAATCTATTATGTGGTATTGAGCATTGACAGCTAATTATAGGAAACCATGTGACTTATCCGTGACTGAATTAATCTTATCTTTGCTCTTTGCTGTTATGACATCCTGTCACTGATTCTGAATTTATTTCAGAGGGAAACTATAGAGAGTGTCCAACAGAAGTCTTCATTTATTGATTGCTCTAATCCTGATATGAAGGAAGAAACTTGTGACGATGATGGCGAAAAGGTGACTAACAATGAAGTTGGGTGTCTGAATACAAAAACTGATAATATTGAAGATCTGGAGAGCAGTTATGACCATGACAAAGTGAAGCCTATGAATATTGGCCCTTTGTCAGAGCTCTCTAAATCTTTATTGCCTGATGTCAATCACAGAGGTACCAAGCGACTAAATGATGGTGAAGAGTATTATGATGCTAAAAAGGGTCGAACTACTATCAACAGTGGTGATGAAGCTGATGCAGTTGAAAATAATATAGTTAGGAATGCAAATGCATTAGATGATCAGTCTGAGATGCAAGGCACTTGTACCAGCATTGCTGATTGTCTTCCTTCACAGCATCTGGATAAGAAATTTTGCTGCACTGTTTGTGATAAAGTGGCTTTTGAAGTTCACCAACATCCTCTTTTGAAAGTGATTATTTGCAGGGATTGCTATTCTTTAACGGAAGGAAAGAAACGTGTGAAGGTATGGGTGGGTGCAAAGCCGATAATGTTTTCAAGTGAGATTATTCAGTGCTCATTTCAGTTTTAGAATATTAGTAAATCTAGCTATTGGTTTTAAAAGTTTGATTACAAGTTTTTGATTTTTCAGCCTCCTTGATATGTTTAGTTGTCTTTTTTTGGATAAAAAGGAAATTTTCTTTGAAAGAGGAAAAGTATGAAGTGTTGAGGATGACAAATCCTCAAAATCTAACAAAATTCTAATAAGCTTACAGTTAGTGTAGAAGAGCTTTCCAGTCGCTTGGGATGTTAGAAATGTAGACTCCCTTCAAATGCTTGTGAACCAGGCATAGAAGATTCGCCATATAAACAGCTATACCCCATAAAATATTTAAATATAAAGGTATGCCCTTGAAAATATAAGCATTTATATAGTTCAGATCCCTGTTATTGAGAGGATCTTCACATGATTCAGTTGTCAAATCTGGGCTGTCCTTATTTGATATGGACAGTGAAGGAATAAGTGGGGTGAATATTCTGGCTCAGATCCATTCATTGCACACCTGCTGGGGAAAAGAGCCCAAAGGGGCCACCGGACCTGCAACATGTGATTTTTGTTTATCCTATCAAGTATCGGCGTCCAAAGTTGGATTTCAGCATTGAATGAGCTTCGGATCTCCGCATTGACTTCTGAAGAACAAGCTTTTCCTTTGTAGGAGAATGAATGAGGAAATGAAAACGTTATTTATGAGAGTGAGTACTAGAAGGGTCAAGAGTCTAAACTCTCATATCATGACCAGAGGAAAAAGAATCAGAATCAGAACCAGAACCAGTAAAGACTCTAGAATCTGAAGCTCACTACTTTATAGTTTCTATGATTCAAGTTTTTTTTGGAGGGGGGGAGTGAAAATTCCAACAATTAGAATTAGAATTATAGACAATGAAGAAATTTTGAATTGGATAGTCATACAAAGTAGAAAATCAGTTAAGATAAGCTTCAGAAAATTAACCTGAAAGAAGTGTTCTAAAATTTTATAGGAATATAGTGCATTGTTCTGGTAAATGATTTGAGGAAGCCTTTGCAAGCTTTTGTGTGAATATAAATTTGTTTTGGAATCTTAATTATAAAAGACTTTAAGTTTGGCTTTGTGCTGGCCTGCTGTGTATAATTTAACGCATGATATTCGGAAATGCTGCAAATGTCTCATTTATTGTCTGTTGCCTTTTAATGGGAAATTTATTGAGCCATTTTTTTTTGTCTCAGGATCTCAATCCTGATAGCTCTGCGTGTTATTGTGCATGGTGTGGAGGAAGCAATGAATTAGTTAGCTGCAAGTCATGCAAAGTGTTATTCTGCAACAACTGCATAAAGAAGAATCTTGGTGCAGAATTCCTTTCTGAAGTTCAGACCACTGGTTGGCATTGTTGTTGCTGTCAGCCAAATCTCTTGCAAGGACTATCATCACAACTAGAGAAAGCTATGGGATCTGTCGACACATCAGTTTCCAGCTCCAGTAGTGATTCAGATAATTCACATGCAGAGATTGATGTTACTATCAGGTGCATTGATCCTATAAATTTTAATTTTTTAATTGTGGGCATCATGTAAGTTTTTATCTTGTTTCATTTCAATTCCTATAGAATCAATGCAATTTCTTGATTTTTTTTTCCCAATCTTATTATTGGCTATCAAGAGCAAACCTTGTATTATTGTCTCTCTTCCTGAGGATTCTGATTTTGAATGTTAATTCATCATGATTGCCTTTATCGTATTATTTTATTGATGTAGAATTGTTTAACGCATCCTTGGCCAAGGTGTTCTGTTCTCTTTTCTATTTGACAGGCTTGCAAGGAGAAAATCTTGATTTTCTTGCCATCAATGTTTTTAAGTAACACAAGTTGAGATCTTATCAATCAATGCTTTTGCCTGTATTATTGAGGATCGCAATTTTTTTGACAAGTTTATGTCGTTTCTTTCTGAAATTTATTTATTTTTGGAGTGAATGTATCAATTTGAAAAATTCATCAACAATTTTTTTTCTTGTTTATTGATGCATTAGCTTCATAAAAAGCCATTAATTTGAGATGTTTATTATTATGAAATGCCTTTTTTTATTTGGATATCAGTTCTAAGCGAAAGCGCAAAAAGAAGATTAGGAGGATCCTTGATGATGCTGAATTAGGAGAGGAAACAAAAAGGAAAATTGCAATAGAAAAGGTTGAATATTGTTTGTTTGGTGTGTTTGTGCCCAACCTACTTCTGTTTCCCAGATTGTTTATCATTCTTTCTATCTTTATAGGAGCGTCAGGAACGTTTGGAGTCTCTGCGAGTACAGTTTTCTGCCTCATCTAACATCATGGGATCTTCTGGATGCAACGGGAATTTATCTGAAGGTGCAAGTTCTGAAGTCCTAGGTGACGCTTTAACAGGCTATGTAGTGAATGTTGTGAGGGAAAAAGGTGAAGAGGCTGTCAGAATTCCTCCTAGTACATCAGCCAAACTGAAAGCTCATCAGGTTTATATTATGTGTTTGCACTTTCAGATTATGGTTAATGTGTTTATTTCCTGCATATTTTTTTCCCATTGTGCCTTCTGGATTTGACTTTTGATTATGCTTGTCCTCACCAAGATCCTTTGTAACTTACTCTTTTCTTAGTACTCCATTGGGTAGTCTATACCAATTGATGCTGGAATTTGGGATCTTACTTGTATGTTAATGTGCTGATAACTACATTTTATAACACTTCACTTGGAATGATGGAGAACCTTCCCCCTGAAGCTAACTATTGAGGTGAGGAGAGTGGGGGGCCATGTTTCATATGCAACGGAAAGGAATGGAAATTGATGAATTAAGAAAAGAAAAAATAAAATACAAAAAAACAAAGCAAATGCCTAAAATACCCCTATTTCACTGGGGAAGAAAAGGCTCCCTTGTCTCCTTTGACCTTCATCTCCCCAGCCACCGTCTATGTCTAGGTTATCTTCACTAATACAACACAGACATCATAAATCCACAAAAATCAACATTTAATTTGGAAATCATCAACATTTCAATGGTCCCTTGTCTTCCTTGCTTGCGAATGACTTCACCAGAAACCACTCCTTGTAAAATGATGCTGTCAAACCAAGATAGTGGCGGAGCAAGGCTAAGTAGTTGGCAACAACCAATGTCAAAGAAGAAGCCACTGACCACTACAAGCAGATCTGCAGACAACATGAAGACCAACCAACAAAAGATGAGCAGATCTATTTGAGAAGCGAGCAAGCGATAGTTGCTAGACAAACAACCTTTGACAATGATGAAGGGGGACTAGTTGGGAATTTCCTACCTTGGAAAATCGCTTCCCACCAAGAGTAGGAGGAGGCAGGCTTCCTGTGGATGAAGGAAAATTTGGAATTCTCTCTCCTAGAAAATGGTGCGGCCAAGTGTGTTTTGTGAAGGAAAGGAAGCCCTTTTCCTTTTCCATCCCCTAATTTTCAGCCTGCCAAAATGCCCCTTAAGCATCCCATTTTAGCTTTGTCCTTGTCAGTGATAATCTTGGAAGCTGACACACCTTAATATGTTATTATGGCCAGAAGTGATTACAAAAAGTTCCAAGTCTCTTTATGACAGGCATTAGGAATAGGAATGATCCTTAATCTCACTTGACCTCTTGTGTTCTAGTCATTTGTAGGAATGATCCTTAACATCACTTATCTTCTGTTTGGATGAGAAGAAAAGTTGAGAGGAAAGAAAATGGAGAGAAGAGAAAATTGAAAAGAAAATGTTATCACTCATTGTGTTTGGATGGGCAGGAGAAAAAAGAGAGGAAAGAAAATGAATAAAAATTATTATGACTATAATACCCTTATATTAGTATATATCATATCTAATGTGATTATCTTTGTAAAAATAAATTGAAAGAATAAATTATATTAAAATTGACATCATCAAAATAATTTAAAATCAAGTTAGTTGTTAAAAAAATGTAAAAAGCTAAAGACGCAAATTCTGTTTCTATTTCTTAAAATCAAATTAATTATATTAAAATCAACATCATCAAATCAAATTATATTAAAATTAGTTGTTAAAATTAAATTAGTTCTAGAAAGCTAAAGACACAAATTTTTATGGAGATCAAAATCTGATTGTTTGTGAGGAACTAATGTAGTTGAAGCAGGCAGAAGAGGGGGAGAGAGGAGAGGGTAGATAGTGGAAGTAAGAATTTACTCTCAAAATCTCTTCACCTTTGGGTAGAAAAGTTGGGAGGAAAATGTGATGGGTTTCACACTTCATTTTTTTCCTAATTTTTCTCCTCTCACTTTTTCTTTTTCATCCAAACAGGGGAAAATGTATTTTCTCTCCTGTTTTCCTCTCATATTTTCTTTCTTCTCATGTTTTCTCTCTAACCAAACAGAGCATTAAAGTCTTGTGTTCTGGTCATGCTTTTTTTTTTTTTTGCAGTGCCTCCTCCTTGGGCATCTAAAATGCTTTTACCTGGATTTGTTTTGGCTTGTCTTTCCTACCCTTTACTCAGCATTCATTTTTCAATTACAGATTGCAGGAATAAGATTTATGTGGGAGAATATAATACAGTCAATCAGAAAAGTGAAGTCCGGGGATAAAGGTCTTGGCTGTATTCTCGCTCATACAATGGGCCTTGGCAAAACCTTTCAGGTATTCTACTTATTCTGGGGATTTTAAATATGTGCATAAAATTAAAGAATAAATTCTTGTTCTGTCAAAATTGCTCGACCGTCTAGGTGTCATTAGTAGGTGCCACTTTAGTGGGATGGATGGTCAGTTGTAATCTTGTCAGAACATTATCCAATTATGAAACATCTAGACTAGAGAGAATTTGATTGCAAGTTGGAGCAAGGTTTGCTTTAAGGGATGCAAGAGCAAGGCACAGCATGTGTTTTAAAAATAGAAGTGCACAAAATAAGGTGGAAGAGGGTGTGAGAAAAGAAGGGAAGAGAGGAACGAATGATCAGAATGATGCATGGGCACTAGTAGCCCTCTTACCATGGAAGGAAAGAGCACAAATGAGAATGGAAACGTAGTCTCTGAATTTTGACATACATGTGCATCTTATTTATGGTAGATGTACAAGGCAAGGAAATAATGGCTAATAATTGCAAAATTAAATCAGCCTAATTAATCATAATCATCCTAATCCAAGGAAACTAATCAGTCATAGTCATCCTACTTAGTTACAATTAGTGATAAATCAAATCATAATTAACATCATGCACTTCTATCTTTGCTGGTTAATGGTTTTGGTCTGATCAACTGGCCATTTTAGGTGATAACTTTCTTGTACACAGCAATGAGAAGCACTGATCTGGGGTTAAGAACTGCACTTATTGTCACACCTGTCAATGTTCTGCACAATTGGCGGCAAGAGTTTATCAAATGGAGGCCATCAGAAGTAAAACCGCTGAGGGTCTTCATGCTGGAAGATGTATCAAGGTTTTCTTGCTATTTTTATATTTCTATTAGATTCAATGAGATTCTAAACAGTCTCAGCAAAGCCTATTCAGAGACATTGGTCACATAATAATATATTGACATATCCTGTATATGAAACACTGAAACTGATTTAGTAGCTTTGCAACATTTAAAACATATTAATAAGGACCATTCCACTGACTACTGAACTTGCATCTACCACTCTACATTGTGCCTTTTTTTAATCATTTAACATTTTGTTGCATGATTGCTATTGATAACATTTCTTTCTTTTTTCTGCACATTTCCTACTCAATGGTGAAGTTGTTTTGTTCCTAACTTAATTTTCCTTTTGCCAGGGATAGGAGAGCTGAAATACTTGCAAAATGGAGAAAAAAAGGTGGCATATTTCTGATTGGCTATACTGCTTTCCGAAATTTGTCTTTTGGAAAGCATGTGAAAGATCGACACACTGCCCGAGAAATTTGTCATGCTTTGCAGGTAACACAATGTGCTGGTTCCTTTGTTGTATATGATTATCATTTGCATTCATTTGACGATGTCTGCTTGTTACTGAAGGATGGACCAGATATACTTGTTTGTGATGAAGCCCATATGATAAAGAATATAAAGGCTGACATAACCCAAGCCTTGAAACAAGTAAAATGCCATAGAAGAATTGCACTGACTGGATCACCTCTTCAAAACAATCTTATGGAATATTATTGTGTAAGTTTTCAAGGATGTTACAACTTGGACGACTTTTAAGTCATTGTACTTATTGTTTGACCCAACAGTATTATATCTGAATCAGATGGTTGATTTTGTAAGAGAAGGTTTTCTTGGAAGCAGTCATGAATTTAGGAATCGGCAAGTCTTTCTTCACTCATCTATCTGATTGTTATAGTTTTTTAGCATATGAATATCTTTGAAAATTCTTTCCTTATGTGCAGCTTCCAAAATCCTATAGAGAATGGTCAACATACTAATTCTACGCTGGATGATGTGAAGATTATGAACCAAAGGTCTCACATCCTCTATGAACAATTAAAAGGCTTTGTTCAACGAATGGACATGAATGTGGTGAAAAAGGATTTGCCTCCCAAAACTGTCTTTGTGATAAGTGTCAAGCTTTCTCCCTTACAGAGAAAATTGTACAAGAGATTCCTTGACGTGCATGGATTCACAAATGACCGGGCTTCTAATGAAAAAATGAGAAAGAAATGTTTTTTTGTTGGGTACCAGGCTTTAGCTCAGGTATGTATGTCTTTGTACAACTTGGCATATGATTCAATTGGCAAAACATTGTCATTACGCATTAAATTGATCTGATGTAGAAGCAATGGCTTTTAACGTTGTGTAAATTTATAGATTGGTAAGTTTAAAAAAAAAAATTGTTGTTGTCTTTAGAATGCTTTTAAAGGCACTTCTTTTTACTTTACTAGTTTGTTAATTATATAATTATATTGGAAAATCTACTGCCATAATATTAATAGGTAAATTACCATAATACTGAATTCAAATTATGGTCTTGTCGTGTATGAGGCGCACATTCTAGTGATTACCATCTTGCTCACCAACTTAGAAATTTCAATTGCTCGTGGCTACAACTTTCATTTTTGCCTCCTTACAATAGTTATGTAAACCATAAAGCACTAGGAATTCAAGAATAAGTCTTATTCTTTAACAAAAGGTAAATAGTGAACTTGGTTTGATTGCACATACGAGTTTGCAAGCTGTGCTATTTTGAATTATTATTATCATTTATCGTTATTTCTGCAATGCTGGTACTCCTCAACCCATCTTACTTTATATTATGCCTTTTGGGGATGATCCTATATTCAGTTGTCAAAAAATATAAATTGCCATAATCATCTAAAATTCAAGATGGTAAGTATTTATTCAGGTTGAAAAAAAAAAAAGAAATGCAAGTGTTTATACGGATACCATATTGAATTTTTTGGGGATGATCCTATATTCAGTTGTCAAAAAATATAAATTGCCATAATCATCTAAAATTCAAGATGGTAAGTATTTATTCAGGTTGAAAAAAAAAAAAAGAAATGCAAGTGTTTATACGGATACCATATTGAATTTTTTTTTTTAAGCTCCAGTTATCGCCCATTAGTTTGTCATGTTCAAAAAAAAAAAATCATGTTTTGGGCTGTATAATGAATTAACGATATGTCGATGGCAGCAAGTGATGTAGAACGAAGGGAAAGATGGGGAAGGAGAAGGAGAAAGAGGAAGAACAAGAGAGATTGTGAGATGTGTGGCAGCAGAAGTATAAAAAATGATTCAACAAGCGATAATCTCCTGATGAGAAAATGGCTATTTATAGAGATCTAAATACAATAATTAAATTAAAAACAATAACTTAATCCTAATCCTAAATAGAATAAAATAAAACCTAATATAAATATATTAGAAGAAAACCTACCTTAAAATGAAATAACTACTAAAACATCAAATAATTCTAACTATATTTGCCTTCAGCAAGTCTCTTGAATTTGCTATGTTATGGTTACTTCCTGTTTTCCCCAGTATATGGTGATAGAAAAGTTTCTTGTGTGTAGTAGATATGGAACCATCCTGGGATCTTGCAATTGACAAAAGAAGACAAGGACTATGTAAGACAAGAAGATGCAGTTGAGAATTTTCTTGTGGACGACAGCTCTAGTGACGAAAATTCTGATTATAACGTGCCTGTTGGAGGTAACCTCCATGTATATGTGGATATTGTAACCTTTCTCCCTCCCAATTTGCTTCCTTCTTTTTGTATCATAATTCATCTGCAGATAATATTGGTAATTGGTTGATTTAAGACCTTTTTATTAATGCAGTGGCTGGTTTTCAGAGATGCTGATATGTAAAGAATAAATAAATAAAGAGTAGTTTAGTTAGTTGGGGGCTAGTTAGATTCAATTGTAGTAAGATATTATGCTAAATTGAAAATACAGAACACAGTTCAGTTCTCCCTATTCTTTGTTTCCCTTTCTCTTGTCTTTTATCTCTTCCTCTCTCTCCTGTTTTCTCTTCTTTGCATCTCTTTCACTCCTCTGTTTCTCTCTTTCCCTTCTTTCAACCATAACAGTGGTATCCAGAGCCATTCTTTCCTCCCTCATATGCCCATATCCACTCCCAATCAAAGATGGCCGGCCAAACCAATACAAGACTTCAGATTGCTGAAAACCAGATTGAAGCACTCACTGCCCAAATAGCACAGCTTGTTCGCACCGTTGATGAGTCTCGAAATGGTGGAGGGTCCTCTTCCAACAATGGAGGCGGAATCCATCAACCCCAACCAGAATTTCCAAGATTCCAGAGAGACGACGTTCTTGGGTGGGTTTAGAAGTGCGAACATTATTTTCATTTGGATGAAACACCAGATTCTTGGAAGGTTACTGTGGCAAGTATTTACCTAGACATAGAGGCATTTCAGTGGCATCAATCTTTCAAGCAATTGAAATGGGGTGAACAGCTTTCTTAGGAAGATTATGTGGAAGCGATTAAAACTCGTTTCCAAGAAGACGTTGGTGTCGTAACAGTGAGACCAATGAAGCCCATTACTCTACAAGATGCATATAGTCTTGGCTGTTTACAAGAAATAAATGTTCAAGGTAGCAGAGGCGAACTGTGGCAGAAAACCTCTTCCTCTGGCTCTGTTGGTGATTCTTGGGTGTCTTCGCACCCTTCAAACAGCTGGGCATTGAACAAAAGGGAAGTCTTAAGTGTTGGTCCCAGCCACTAAAGTTGAAAATGACTAAAACACCCTCTATTGGATCTGTCTTGTTGAGTTCAGCATCTGATGCACAAGGTTCTATTCTCTCTTCGTATAAAGAAGCAATTTCTGATGTGAAATATTGAAAATATTGAACCCAGAGGAAAAGGCAAAGTACAGAGCCCAAAATATCATACATGTGGCATTTTCAGAAACGAAAGTTGTGTGAATTTTCTTTCATGGGCTTAAAGGAGCTTCGAAATTGGGTTACTCATGTTGGGCTGTACGAGGTGATAGGAATGTTAGAAAAAATATTAAATAAAAGGGCTGGATCGAAGTAAGGCTGATTATCACAGGAATATTAGTTTAATGGAGACACTTGCCTAATAAAGAAGCAACTTGGACGTCTCAGTTTAATTTTCAGAGGCAGCCTCCAGACTTTCCCATCTTTGACCCTTGAGGTCAAGGGTTTTTGAGGGGAAGGTATTAATATGTAAAGAATAAATAAATAAAGAATAGTTTAGTTAGTTGGGGGTTAGTTAGATTATGTTAGAATAAGGGGATGAAGGATCCTATATAAGGGATCCTAATTGTAGTCAGATATTATGCTAAATTGAAAATACAGAACATAGTTTAGTTCTCCCTATTCTCTGTTTCCCTTTCTCTCTCGTCTCTCGTCTCTTCCTCTCTCTCCTGTTTTCACTTCTTTCTTCCTCTTTCCTTCTCTTTCACTCCTCTGTTTCTCTCTCTGTCTTCTTCCAACCATAACAGATGCACATGTGTGCATGATTAGAAATAATCTTTTTTTAAGAGAATTTCAGATTGTTTTTATCAAAGTAGAATGAAGCCTGATTGTTTTTTTTTTTTTGGTTGTTCAATGATAGCACAGCATGTGTGTATACACCAATAACTATTACTTAGTAGACAGATATGTGTTAGTTGGAAGCTTAATTTTCTTCTTTTCTCAGTTATTTATCATCTACTGATTATATGCTCATGTATACATGTTTTGCCACGTTTGACAATTCCCTGCCTTACAGAGAAAGTTAGATGTGCAAATGAGCTTCTGCAAAGGAAAGATGAGAATGGGTTTTTTCTAAAGGTATGACAAGGAAGAGTTTCAGCTGACAAATCCTGTTTAAATCCCAATATGTCAAGATATAAATGAGATCCGCAGTTGCTTGGTTACCATCTTGTATTGTATTCTGTCCCCATCATTGGCTTAAAAACATCCTTTCATTATGTTTTTAAAACAGCCTTTTTTCAATATCGGTACTTCACATTGCTTTTCAGGGTTGGTGGAATGATCTTCTGCATGAAAAAAATTATAAAGAACTTGACTACAGTGGCAAAATGGTTTTGCTCGTGGACATACTAACCATGAGTTCTGATGTGGGTGACAAGGTGTTGGTTTTTAGCCAGAGCATACCAACACTAGACCTCATAGAACTTTATCTATCCAGACTACCTCGACGAGGCAAACATGGCAAATTTTGGAAGAAGGGAAAAGACTGGTATAGGTGTGTTCATTTCTTTTAATCTGTCTAACTTGCTACTCTTGTCAGTATTTTGATGTGGCTTTGTTCTACCAATGGCAATCAGTGAGAAAACATTGCTAATTTCTTTTTTTTTTTGTACTATGTTATTGCAATAGCTTTGTGCAATTCATGAAGCTTGACTCCACCTAGTGGGTTGAGGCTTGTTGTCGTTGTACTATGTTTTTGGGAATATCTGCTTTCTTCCACTATATACTGCTGGGATTTTCATTTTGCTTGCATCCTTCAAAAAGTCTATGGGTTGATCTCTGACATTTTCTGTGCTAGTTTTAGCTTCCGTTTTTAGATTTCAATATTGATATTGCATATTATCCTTTTGTTTTCTTTATGCCATTGATTCACATTATCCTTGCTTTTGTATTTTCCATTTGGCCTTAAATTTTTTCATTAGGTGGTGCTCTCCTAATTATAATATTTGAAAGAGCACCGCAGGTTTTAGGCTTAAAGCTTAAAATGTGAGTTCATCCATTAAAAGTACTGATATCTCTTATTGCTTGTACTGTAATTTTTCTTTCTGTTTATTGAGATCTGAGCAAAGCACCACACCTTTATGTGCTACCTTAAATAAACTGTTCTTGCATATGCGGAATATTTCTCCTCGTTTATCTTGCCCAGTTGGCAGTATAGTATATTTTTCTGTCTAATTGAGACTTCTAGATATCCTTAACACTTTGATATTAGTTTTAACCACATGTTAATTATTTTATTCCAAAGTTTATCTCAATTGACTACTATAGGAGCTTTGTGATGAATACTTTCAAATTAGGTGGACCCTATTTTGAGTTTTTTAATCTTTTTGCTTAATCTCTAGGCTGGATGGAAGGACAGAGAGCTCTGAAAGGCAGAAGATGGTTGAGAGGTTTAATGAGCCTTCCAATAAGAGAGTGAAGTGCACTCTTATTTCAACCAGAGCTGGTTCTTTGGGTATTAATCTCCATGCAGCTAATCGTGTTGTTATAGTTGATGGTTCTTGGAATCCAACATATGATCTCCAGGCCATCTATCGAGCTTGGAGGTAAGCTTCAAGCTTTTATATATCAATATCGAATTAAGGGAAAGTTACATCCAGGCCTTACCCAAGGAAATTAATCACAGATAAGGACCAACAATAAGTCCCATTCAAGGGAAAAAAAAAAAGTCATGTTCCCATTTTAATAGCAACTCGTTCTGCATTGATCTTTATTTGTGATTAGTTCTCTTGTGAGGGGGTTGAATGTGATTTTCTCTTGAATTAACCTTGTTGCAGAGTGAATTGTATGTTTCCATTGAAATATCCATTACACCCCTTTTGGTGTAATTAAAGACTTTTTGAAGGAAGTAGAACCAGAAAGGGGATAGAACTCAGTTTTAAATGTTTGGTATGTCAGAAAAAAATAGATGAAATCCTTATATAATTTTTGTTTGGTATGGATATGAGATAGATGAAAAAATAGATGGAATCTCCTTTCTCTTAGCGTTTCTTCTTTATCATCATCAATTAATTTCACCATTCTAGAAAGAATTTGGATTTTGAAAAAAAAAAAAAAAACTAATTTCACCATTCGAAGTTCAAAAATCCCAATTTCAATCTGGGATTCTGATTCCAACCATGCAAGCCAAAAATTGCTTTGTTTCGAACAAGCATGCTTGATGGCAATGGCATGGCGGGGGAAAGGAGGAAAGCAATGTCTGACATTTGTGAATGAGTCGGCTGATAATGATGGCAGCTTATCCTGACCCCCCAACCCGCAATGAATTGACACAGCTTATCCACTGAGATATTGAAGCCCAATGAAACGTTCAGCAACTTTCTCTCATCCTTGCTGGATTGGTGGCAAAGTTGCTGGTCAACAGACAAAGGAGGGCAAAAAACGTCATGCTAATGTTGGTTCCATAGAATAATCCGCTATAATTCCATTAACTTACAATAGAACCCATTCAAGCTATTTTGATGGAAGTGGGTTCAATGGAAATCATAAATCTAACCTACCAAGTATGTCACAGTAGGGAATCCATTTCTGATTCTGTTTCCTTATAATTTCTGCATACCAAATGGGTCCTACACGTGTTTCACATTATGATGTATATATTCGTGGGAGAAAAGTTAGCAAAAGCTAAAAGGTGTCAAATAGGCATGTCATCCATGCCTATGAAGTGCAAGTTTAATATTATCTGAATGTATGCCTCTTTGAATTATGCACTTGTTTTTGTGTTGCCAATCGAGCTACTGGTTTTTGTATCCCAAAACAAATCGAGCTACTGGCTCTCATATAGAAGGGGCTTGAGTGCCTTAGAGAGAATGTCACGGGTCCAATGGCTTTTCAGATAATTAGTTGTAACTGCTATTGACTTTATTCAGATTCAAATAAATTCCCCACTTGGCTCAGAATAGTTTGTCTGGTTTTACTACGGAAAGGAATCTTTAAAGGAAAAATCTTATATGCTGTTCTTTATATCTTTACTATCATGTGCCTTGATCAAAACATAACAAGTCCACTGTTTTCTATTAATAAGGTGATAGGTGTATGATTTTCTTCAATCAAACTATGCACTAAGGTTCACACAGTTTGATTATGCACAAGAGTTTAGTTTTCTATCAGTTGATCAAGGACATGCTTGGAAACCTTCTCCATGTTGCAGGTATGGCCAGAGAAAGCCTGTGTTTGCTTACCGATTGCTGGCTCATGGAACTATGGAAGACAAAATATATAAGCGCCAGGTAATGGAATGTGATTTGGCTTCTGTGGATGTTTGTGACATTCTAATGACAGTGAAATGGTTCATATAGGTAACAAAGGAGGGACTTGCTGCTAGAGTAGTTGACAGACAGCAAGTGTACAGGACTATATCTAAAGAAGAGATGTTACATCTCTTTGAGTTTGGTGATGATGAAAACTCTGAGACATTGGCTGAACTGAGCCAAGAGAATGGGCATTCAGTGGAACAGACAGTACCAAATTCAAATGGAATCAGCCATTCTGATAAGTTAATGGAAAGCTTACTTAGCAAGCATCGTCCAAAGTAGGTTTCTGAACTTGCCGCTATTTTATTTCGTTGTTATGATTTAGTATATTTGGCTGGTTTTGGAACAAATAAATTATAATTTTGAATGGGTAATTTTCTTGTAAAGCTTTGACAGTTAGACTGGACAAGTTTGTACCAGTAATAGCAGTATTTATGTAGAGACAAAGACTTGTCTATGCATCTGACGTCATCTGATGCGATATTTTGAAAGGTGGATTGCTAATTATCATGAACACGAAACCTTATTGCAAGAGAATGAAGAAGAAAAGCTATCGAAAGAGGAGCAAGACATGGCTTGGGAAGTATACAGGAAAACGTTAGAATGGGAGGAAGTGCAGAGAGTACCACTGGGTGAATCTCTGCCTGTTCAAAAACCACTAGAGCCAAACGCAGCACCCTCTGTATCAAAGACCCGCAGCCTCTCACCAACAAAGTTGAGGAACCATTTTCTAACGCGGAAATGCACCAACCTTTCACACTTGCTGACGCTTAGAAGTCAGGGCACTAAATTTGGTTGCAGCACAGTCTGTGGGGAATGCGCTCGAGAGATCAGATGGGAGGACTTGAAGAACAGAGATGGGAGAGTAAGAAGGTGAAGGATGATATAATTTTTACTTGCTTATATTTGCTTAACTAACTAATGTATCTGCTTATTGTTGTGAATGGCTAGTCCCCCTGGTCAATATATATATATATATATATATTGTAATAGATATAGTTGTAAATGGATTGGGCTTGATATTCAAAATCTTCTTGAAGAAATTGTATGGTTACTCGTGTTCTGTGGGACTATTTCCTACTGCTGGCGTGGCTTGAAGGCTAACCCATCTACGGCGGACTTATGCCTGTATGTAAATGAAGTACTACAGTATACAATTTGATTACAGTTGACCTGTTTTTGCATTTTGGGTTCATGGAAATTTATTATAGTCTTGGTAAGGAAATATTAGAAATATAAAGTCACCATAGATTATTGATAAAGAACATGTTGAGGATATGTCGCGGCAACTTCTGCGTGACTGTGTGTTGATTTTTAATTCTTATCTCAGTAATTCAGTTTTGAATTCGTCGCCATAGAGATGGTAACTCGTAACGTACCTGCTTTTCCGTGATATTTATGAAGTTTATTGTCCAAGGCTAGACTATTGGATAATAACGAAATATGTAGGTTGTCTTGTTTTAGGTATAGTTTTGTTTCGTTAGTTTTCCTTGTTTTCTTGACGCGGTCTCACTAAATAATATGGAAGTTTTAAGGGTGTTTGGAAACACGTAAGATAAGGCAGACATGATTTCACAATCTTCTCACACCGTTGAAACTAAATTCTTGCCATTCATATCTAAACTAAATTAACATGTAAAATCTTCTCAGACCAAACAGAAAATAATATGCAGAACCGCGTCGTAATTCTTGAATCACAGATAAATACCCAAACCATGACTACGTATTTCCATTTACATTCTCTATATTCACCAAATCCAAAAGAGTCTTAAAATTTACATTCCCCGTCAATTTCACCGTAGCTCTTGCCTCCACAGCAATTTTTTACATGATTATTTCAGTTTATATTGCATTAAATATTCATAACACTCTCAATGGGTATCATAAATTTTGATGCCCACGGGAATGATATAACTTACAACAGCAATCTGAGGCATGCCTAGTTTAAAATTGACCCGTGATGCGATGATAGTCAAGTGAAACATATTTCATCTCCTCACCAATTGTCTTGGACCAGTTGGCCCCTACTCGCCATAAAGCTCGATTGGAAACAGTTCAAAAACGTTCTTCAGTGAAAATCAGACAAACGCCGCAAATCGATAAGCTTTTTGATTGCGGAGCGTGAATCATAAAGAATGGTAGGACCCCACTCTCTCATATACTGGAACCAACATGGTTCTTCAATGGCTCCACCACCCAGATGCTCAGCAGCAGCAATCTAATATTTGATGCTTGAATCCACCAAAAGGCTGCTTCTACCTGCATCATTCCGTACTCCAATTCCAATTTAAGATGAACCCTGGAGGTAAGTCCCAGGATGAGGGAAGCTTGCATGCCCATTTTTTGATGAATAAACTACTGGTTTATTCCCCTCTATAAACTCCAGATCAAACGCGTTTGCCCATTCACCTCCACTATGCTGGGAGAAGAACACAGACCACAGCTCTCCTGTGAAATTGCTCACACGAAGTGTGAAGTGTTCCCAATCCCCCACATGTTCTCCTATCCTTTTCATTGCAATGTTCAGAAATCCCACTTTGATGGTAACAGGTCCGTTGAATGGACAGAAAACCCACATTGCAATATCAGTGAATGTTCCTCCCAAAGCTGGTTTTACATGAACATAGAGCACTGCACTCTTAATGTTTCCCTTCTTTAGATCATCTCTGGCTTTGCCATCATAACTTGGCAAATCTATCCAAAAAGCACCATCACCTATCCCTCCTCCAGGTAAATTGGAGCCCTTGTAATCTATAGCTTCTCCCCCCTCACCGCCTTCTTTATATAAAAGGGTTCCATTTTTGAAAAACCATCGAACCGATTATGGCAAATATATTTCATCAGGATGGAATAATACAGTGGGCCCATAACACTCAATAAGTGCATGAATCTGGTTGAGATTTGGCATTGCACCTAAGATGGAATCGAGATTCTTCAAGCATGAGATATCTATCTTTTGTTCGGGATCAAAGTGAGTGCTGCAGAAGGATGTCCCAACAGATAAACCTTTTCCCAACACACCTCTTTTCCCGGGTCTTATGTCAGAAAACTGATTCTCGAGAACCTGGAATTTGCTGCTAGTAATACATTACTAACCTCACAAGTTTCTGTGAGAACTTCTCTCACACATCTAACTTGTCCAACACTAGCCTCTTCTGGTTTGGTAGTGACCATAATACCCATAGTTTCGTAACCCGTCGGAGGGTTTGGCAACCAAAAGTAACCACGTCCATCATGTGGCGAATCAATGCTACATATTAATGAGTAGTTTAAGGGATTTTTCAGAGGTGGAGATTCTGACATGAAGCCATGGGTATGATTAGCTTGAAGTTCAAAAGAAGTGGCTTCACGAGCCACAAGAATATATCCTCTCAAAGGCTGATCATTGGACTAGCAATAGTAACCAAGGCAGAAAAAGCCATCGGGAACCTCCGCGGGTCTGTAAAACGTAACGCCGTGAGGTTTCGCATGCAAGTCAGCGTAGCTCCAACTCTCTCAAATTTGTCTATGCTCAAAATTTCTATTTCTCCAAGCATATTCTTCCACTAGCAAAACTGCCACCTGAGCCAGATCGTTGAGAAAAAAGTCGAAATGAATGAACATCTGATAAGGCTGCAGTGTTGAAAGGAACGACAAGGACATCAAGAAATTTAATCGACTTTTGGCTTCCCGGATTAGACCTCAATCAATTATCATACAAGCTGATCGGCAATATCAGCATGCTGTTTCCAAACCTCGGCATTTTGGGATACAGAGAATTCGGATGATCCCAGTTGAAACGTCAAATTAGTGAACCATTGCTTTCATTTTCAAAGGTAATTCAACATCCGTTAAAGGCCGGGCACCAAAAAGGAAAAAAAGAAAGAAAAAGAGGAGCCCAGCAAGTGTGTGTGTGTGTGTGTGTGTGTTACGACGGACAAGGTAATGGCCTTCTGAAGCCAAGAAACTTCACATGGGAATCTAGAAATGAGGATGGTAAATAATATATTGAACGGTAAGCATCACGATTAATACAGTACATGCAAAATGCAGATGATGAGTGGAATCGATGCCGCGCATGAGCAAAGACAAAGAAAAAAGAAGGAAGAGATGAGAAAAAGGAACAGAAAAAGAAACAATAAAAATAGCAATCAGAAACCAGGAGGCCATTGTGGAAGAGGCGAAGGCAGAGAGAAGGGCTGAGGGTACTGAGAGGGATAGAAGTGAGGGGCAGAATCAGCGCAGAGACAGTCGGCCCCAAACATCTCTTAAGCCCCAAGCTCGGCCATACGATTTTAGCCTCTGAAACCGCTAAATCTACAGGGTCTCTCCCCTTCATCAGAAACTCCGAATTCAGAGGGTTACAGTCGGAAAGAGAGAAAAGTTTATTTTATTAACCACGTGCCGTGCAAAGGATCCAACACGAGAATAATACATACATTATCAAATTATAAAACATTTGTTAAAAAGGTTTACTGTCTTAAAATACAAGATATTTTAAAAAAATTATAATTTTATTAAATAACCTTATTTTCATATTACAATTTATTTTCATCTATTTAAGGTTATTAAATAAAAAATATTTTAAAAAATTATATTTTTATTTTTAAAAAAATAAAATTATTAAGTATATTTAATAAAATTTATTAATATATGAGATTTTATTTAAAAATATTTTATAATGGAGGGAGGGTAATTTTTTTTATTGGGCCTTGTTTGATTGAAACCAAAAAAAAAAAGGTGGCGGCGTATGTGTATTGCCGGTTGGGATGTTTTTGTGGGAACCCATCCAACAAGAAGTTTTTCATGAGAATCCATTTGACTGGGCTTGCAAGTTTCATTTGAGTATCAGCAGCAAGGAGGCGGAAGGTCCGCTTGGGGATACCGTGATGGGGTGAGAAGTACATGATTTTAGATACCAACATTTCCGGGAAATGGTGATCCGTTTGTTTATTTGTTGTGACCAAGAAAGAGAGGGAACGAAATGCACGGCTGATTCACAAGGGGGAAAGAAGATTCCCTCACATATTCCATGTGTTTGAGTATTCAGGCCGTCACGTCACGTTTCCGTCAATTTAGAGACGTATTATCTGGGGAAAGAACCGAAAGAAAGCAATTAATAGTTGATATTTTCATGCAAAATGATTTATAAAAAAGAATCATTAATTTTCATGAAAATGACGAGGTTAAGGATGGGGGAGTTGCGAGCAGACAAACATGTGTGAGGACGAGAGGCGCGTGGCCATCAAGCCACGTGTCCCCGGTCAGAGTGAGAGATTTCTCACTGGACTGGAAAAAGGTTGGAGAATGGGAGGCTCTAAAAAGGGGAATATTCAAACATTGTTGTAAAATTGAACACGATACTTACCTTGGAAATAAAAACAAAAAACAAAACAAGAAACAAGAGGGCAGCAACGTTTGAGAAAAGTACAATGCATTTTGCATCCATGTCTTGGAAGCGGAGTCTTCATGCAGAGTTCAAAAAAAGGTGAAAGCGAGGCAACCCAACTCGAGTATTACTCTCGGGTCTCTTTGGAGGGAGTGTCAATGAATTAAAGTCCGGTTAAATCCACCAATGTTGACCACTTCCCAAATTTTCGAGCATCTCCTTCCTCTCCTTTTCCTCTCTTCATCCCATCTTTATTCTTGTATTAAAATTTATACCATTAAAATTTAATATTTTATAAAACTATTATAATAAATGAATTTAATTAAATCTCAATCCTTCAATTTTTACTCCAAAAGTAAAGATTGGTTGAGGAAAAGAAAACGATAGAAAGAATAATGAGAGGGTCCAAATCCCAAATTTTCAAAATGTGCTTCTCTCATTCTTTTCTTTGTTTTTTTTTTAAATATTTCGGGAAAAGGTGTGCTCCTCTCATTTTAAGTATAAGATAAAGTATTCCGTGATTCTTAAAAAAAAAAAAAAACGGTGCTCTCCCCATTTTAAAATACTCCTCTTTATTTGAATCATAACATAAGATATTGACAATTTACTGCTTTGTAAAATTAAAGAAAAGAATAGACAAGTGATATCTTGGTCTCTCAACAAAATTTACATCTTTTCAATTCAATATCATATATGAGTATCTTAACAATAATAATTGAAATTTCAATATATCTTTTTTAAAAAAAGAATAATAAATGAAATCAGGATATTGTTGCAAAAGTAATGATAAAAAATATTCATCATTACCCTAGTAAATTTTAGACTGGTCAAAATATAAGCAAGTTGGTTAATATTAATAATTATATCTAAAATTTTAAAAGAATGATTAAAATGTCCTTGTGATTACTCTTTCATTCCTCCCTAATTTAATGATATTATCATTCAATAAAAGGAAATAGAGAAAAGATGTCATAGATAAATATTATTGCTTTGCCTATAAAAAAAACTATTTAAAAGTTTTGTTCATACTTAAAAAAAATGGAGATTTAAATTAATCTTTGTTTGGATACAATTTTAATCAATATTTTTAAACTTATAAAAAAATGTTTGCATTTAAATGCTCTTGGATGTTGATAGCTGATAATCGCGGAGCTGATCAGCACGGCTGTTCACATATCGATCAGACGAATTTAATGATCTAATGGCTATTTAACATTTTGGAATTTAAAAGGTTGTGTGCTCCAATCACATCTCAACTATTCCTCGTCAATAATTCACTCGTTCGAAATCGTGATTGCCTGAAGGCTCATTTCGATATGGGTGATAATGAAGTGTATGAACAGTCCAAAAAAAATTTAAGATCAACTTAAAAGTTTTTTTTTAAAAAAAATTATTTTGTATTTATTCAGGTTGCTCGAGTTAACTCAAAAGACTCTAGACCAAACTCAAACTCAAGTGCGCTTAATAAATTGCGCATTAAGAGAAGGAGGAAGGACAAATATCGAGAAATATGGTTGATGGTATATTTGGCACAGAAAATTTCTAACAAATAATAAATATAACTGATGGTATAATTGAAATGCAGAAACTACTCACCTTAGCTTAATGAAAATGTGATTTTGATTTCAACAATCAATTATGAGAAAATGAAATTGTTTGGATGTTTTTTGCCAATGGTTTTGGCTGAAATAATTGATTATTGATGCATATCCAAATAGTGCAAACAACTCTGGCAATGACGGCAGCGCTTCAACGGCTGACGATAGGGGCAGGATTATAATCATTCGTGGATTATTCCACAATTGGTGGGACCCAGTGCAAAATGCACCGCCGACGCTGACGTGGTGCCAAAAGTGCAGTGGGTTGGCTGGTTCCTACATGGTAAAAGTAAAAATCGTACACTCACTCCTACACTTGCTTGGCCCCTCCATTCTCTCCCCATACTTCTCCTACAGTTTAACTAATTAATTGATTAATTCCAACTCATTGTCATCCCTGCTTTCCTTTTAATTTCTTCTTCTATTTCCCACCCTTTCACTGAACAACGGGTTAGACTTTCAAACAAATACGTTTGCCTTTATTTTTAATGTTTTGTGTGTGTGTGTGTTTTTTTTTTGAATTCCTTATGACAATTTATCTACTTTTGACCACTTTGCCTCATCTCCATCTCTTCTTGTTATCAACACAAGAAATGATGAAGGGGATTGTAAACTAGGGGGCAATAACTCTAACAGCAACGATAGACGACGAGGATGAAACCCACGATGGAATATGATGATGGGTTGAATTTTCTCTTCGACAACATATAGACAAAGATTAAACCCCATGGAACCTACAATGATATTGGATTGAATATTTTCTTTGACAACAGGCGATGATGACTCCTTCAATTTCTAGTTGAAGCTTCTCTTTGATTTCTATCTCTTAATTCTTATTATCTTCTTGTGAGGCATTTACGATGAGGAGCAATAAAGAGAAGAGGTTTAAATGTTTTTACATGTCTATATTTGTGGATTTTTTTGTGTGATTCCTAAGAGGAACAATTGTAAAAGAAAATACATATTTGCATTTTCCATCGATTCTCAGTTCGCATTCCCATAGGCTTCTAGATCTGTGTTTCATGGTTTTTTTTTTTTTCATCTGATTTATGTTCTGCAATGATTCTAGATTGCAAATGATGAAGTTGATTGTTGCTTTGGATTTATTATTTGCTGGAAATTCATATTTATTGGGCATTCCATCATTTTTGATGGAGTTCATGCTGGTGCAGTGATGATGAGATTTGTAAAGAAGATATAAATATATTGATCATTTTAAAATATAAATATATTGTTTGAATAAATTTTTTAGCCCCTTTTCAACTTTTAAATTTCACTTTCACTTCTACTTTCATCAAAATTATTTTCTCATGGCAAACAAGGCATTAATTTGGGGCACCCTTGAAGGCTTTGCGAATGTGTGAATGTTGTCGTGGGATGGGACCTGATAATGGAGTTGTCCAGTGGAGGGTGACTGCATTTTGTCACTTTTGAAAGGCCATTGGCAGGGTGGGCCAGCTTTCATGTCCTTATTATCGCAGCCGGACAGCCACAGTATGACATCATTCATTTATTAAGCCTCGGTCTGGATATAAGAAAATACAATTAAGAAGGTTAGTTTTTGTTTTTAAATGTTTTCTCTCCGCGTTTTTTTTCTCTCTCTTTTCTAATTTCATTCTCATCCAAGCGAAGGCCTATTTTATTTAATGACGCAGCTGTTGCCTGTTGGGACTTGCCACTGTTTGATTGCCCTTTCGTCTTCGCTCTACCCTGTCAAAATGCATTTCGGACCAAATTAAATCACATCCAAATACTCATTCCAATTCAGGCTATAATATTTGTTTAACTTTCTTCGGCGTTTCTTTTAACATTTCATGAATGTTGCATTGAACAAAACGCAACGTTATGGTGTATAGTTTGGAGTGCAGGAGCTCGGGTGACTTGGGAGCGCAAGAAAGGCCGCACGAGGCTACCGGAAACTTGCCGCAAGGATTAGAATTTAGATTATCATCATAATCATAACAACGACAATGATGAATGATTAAACCATTTTTGGCTCCTCGCAGCCTTTCGCCACCTTTATGAGCCAACTCCTGCACCACTCCCTTCTCTTCGTGAAGCCAATAGTCAACACTCGCCATTGGATGCGATCCCGATCCGACGGCCCACAATTAACAACATCATTCCCACTAATCATGCCGGTCAAATGCACGAGCCCTGTACGTCTCGCTTGCCACACGGATAGAGAGAAGCCTGGCTTCTGAAGTAATTTTTCGGTGTAAACACGATACCTTGAACCCCAAATCCTATCCGTTCAGACTCCTGCTTCGCCGTATCATTTTCATTCCCCATTGCCTTCACTCCCCTTTTCGCATCTGCTTTTGCTCAGATTCCCAGCTTATCCAACGTAATACCTGCTTGTTTTTTCCTTCGGTTACAGGTCAGCTTTCTATACGTCCGCTTCGAGTTTTTGCCAATAACGCCGCTTCTTTTGGCTTTAATTCCGATAACATGGGTTTTCATTACACTGTGGAAACTTCTATTCCTTGTACTACTCTTGTTCTTTGTAATTTGCTGGATTCTTTGCCGTGGATCTTGATCTGTTTTGCTTTTCTTTGAATTGAGTCGCCTAAACAATCGTTGACGGGGCTTGATAAAAAAGCATTCTCGTGCTGTGTTCCTTCTTCTCTTGATAAAGGGTTCTGGTTTGCTGGTTCAGATGTGTTTAGCGAAGCAGCGGCTCTGCTTCTTTTGTTAAAAAAAAAAAAAAAAACCATTTTTAATGCATTGCGGGTGGGCGTATCTTCTTCTTGTTGATTGGTGGTCAGGAAGATTTTAAATTCGGTAATTGTAACAGATAGTGAATTCCGACCCGATTACCCTTATGGAATTGAAAGTTGAAGTATCTTATGTTGAAAACTGAATAACTGCATGATTTAACTCTAAATGCCCGCGCATAACTTCTCTATATCGCCGCTCCTTGTCTCCCTCCTGTATTGGCCATGACTCCGTTCCCCTCCTTTTTTTGGTATGCATTAAAAAGTTTGGGTAAGTAAATTGAGTTAGGTGCCGGGATTCAGCCAATTCCTGTCTTATCTCGTCAGAAGCTGATGGTCAAAAATCATTATGGAATTTTTTTTGGCATGACCAGCTTCTGCTCCTTGCTTCAAGCCAAATAAAACTCTTCAACGAAACACCTTTAATCTTTCACTAGAAATGGATTCAGCTTTGTAATATCTCCTGCTGACTACTGCTAAAAGTTGGCTGATATTCTTACTGGGCAATCTTCGTTTACCACCACCAAAAAAAAAAAAAAAATCTTGCCTTCCCTTCAATGACATTTTTCAAGTTTACCATGCATATGAATATTGGGCACTGAGTCAATATTACGTTGCTATTCATGGTTGACTCCGGCATAGAATTTATTGATAAGTTGACAAGTTGTGTGGTTCAGTATCTGCAACTATTCCGTTTTTTTTTTTTTTTTTGGCCGACCTATGACTGCTGCTCTTTCACTTTCACCTCTGTATGTTTACAAATTCAGATTTTCAAACTCATGCATTAATTGCATATTTAGGCTTATTATCAGAAGTATTACAAATACATTAGGCCAACCGGCATTATTCGTAACTGTTTCCTGGTGTTTTTATTCAATGGCCAACTGAGATGTTTTTTTCTCAGAGACACCAGAAACTATGCTCATGACTAGTGACATTAATGAAACAGGCTCATGAAATTACTGTACATTCTGTTATTAATGGTTGAGTAACTGACATTCTACTTGCTTTTCACATCAGGTCAGACAAAGCTGAGTCAATTGGGAGACTTCAGGGTAATGTCTCCATCTTTTCCTCTTCTTCCCACTCGTATTGAAGACAAATATATGAAACCCGCAGATTCTTTTTCCTCTGCTGCACGAGACCTGACTGCAAATCCTGCATCAGTGCAGGCTTTTTCATCAAATTCCAACCTGAGAAGTGGAGGGCACATGCTTTCGTCACCTTCTAAATGCCTGAATGACATCTCTTTTTCCTCAATTTCACAACATGATAGGCAGTATCAAGGTTCTCCCTTCATTTCTAAGACATTGAGAAGAGATGATGTGATGCCCTGGCTAGGAGCTTCCCTTACTCAGAGTGGGGAAGATGCTTCTTTCCCACCTTCACATTCTTCTCATCCAGAAATACATTTGGCAGCGTGCATTTCTCAACCCCCGGAAAGTGATGATATTCCCTGGGGACCAGATCCCTTTCAGGATATTCTTGATCTCTCTGCAAATGATTCCATCCAGAATGATCAGATGGAAAGTAGTTCTTGTTATATGTCTGATGACAACACCAAAAAAACTGATTTTGGGGAGTGGGTAGATCAGTTAATGTCAGTTGATGAATCTCCTCATCCAAACTGGAGCCAGCTTCTTGTTGATGATAATGTACCAGATTCAAAACCAAAGGTTTGTTTCTCAAACTGATTTTGGGCATGGATGCCTTTCTATGGTCCGATGACTGTTGTTTTCACACATGAACTATTTTGACAGATTTTAAAAATCTAGTCAATTTTGATACTGTTTCCCTCTTGTAGATGCTAAATACCTTTAGTGATATGCGTGTAACTCTTGAAACTTCTAGTCATGGGCATAATTGCAGTTCCATAAAGCATGCCATGCAGTTCTCTCTGGTCTTCCCTTCCCTTTACATCTTTCTGCCTGTAGATATGTGTGATGTATTTAGAAGCTCGAAGGTGCTCGGTTCTATTTTGCAATTTTTTCGTTCTTACTTACATTTCATTTTGGTATATATAGACATAGTGTATTTTCTCTTCCCTTTCTGTAAATAATTCAAAATGTCTTTTTATTGAGTACATTAACATCCGGCGCCATATTTCTTTTATTTACTTCTTCTCTTTCTGATATATAAGATGCTGAAGCATATCTTACTTTTTTGACGCAGGAGCCCGATGCCACCAAGCAGCAGCATGCACCATCTGGAGAAGTCAGTGCTCCTCCTACTTCAGCATCGAATGCGCTACAAAGTAAGCCTAGAATGCGTTGGACTCCAGAACTTCATGAAGCTTTCGTGGAAGCAGTGAATAAGCTTGGTGGTGGCGAGAGTATGTTTCCTTCTCTTTGCTCTCAAACTTCTTGACCTTCTCATAGCTGGTGATGTCTTACATTGCCCCATGTTAACATGCAGAGGCTACTCCAAAGGGTGTTTTGAATCTAATGAAAATTGAGGCTCTTACTATCTATCATGTGAAAAGCCACCTACAGGTAGATTTAAAAAAAATTCTTCTCTTTATCTGTATTGCTATTGGCATAGATAGCTACACTAAACCAGCCCCTCTTTGTTGTCTTTTTTAAATATTTTCTCATGAATTGCTTGTTATTTTAATTTCAGAAGTATAGAACAGCCAGATTCAAACCCGAATCATCAGGAGGTATGTGCATATGTTTATACAATAACTCCATTGTTTAGTATGAGTTGCCCTTTGTCACATTATATATACATAGATATTCCCCTTTGTGTCAAGATGCAAAGTATGAATGGACTGCTATTTTCTATCTGCAGGAGCTTCTGAGAACAAATCGACAACCAAAGAAATGAAATCTTCAGACTTGAGAGCGTGAGTATTTTCTTTCGGCCAGAATCTTGTCCAATCATAGTGACACAGTTGTTGACTGATCTCATTTCTAGTGTGGATCGTTTGCTCTTGCTGTATGCATCTAGCAGAGTTCAAGTTTACTGAATGTAAACTTACTTTAAAGTATTACATATATTTGATTACCTCATTGCAATGCTTCTGAGTTTTAAATATAATCTTGCACTGTTTCACAGAACTCGTATGTATCAAGCAAATGGTCCTGGGAAGTTCTAGTTTCAGCAGTTTGTCCATGTGATTCAGCTGCGTTAAATTAAACAATTAATGAACAAAACCGTATTTTGGATTTTGGTTGCAGTAGCATGGGGATTACTGAAGCATTGCGGTTGCAGATGGAACTCCAGAAGCGGCTCCATGAACAACTTGAGGTACTTAAGGATCACTTTGTTCTACTTATAGTCCAAAAAATTTTTCATGCTAAATTTACAAGTTAAATATTGATTGCACATCCCCACTGATCATAATAAATTGATGATTAGTTTTGTTAGAAATTAAAATACCTTCTCGAATGTGTTAGGTATAAGACTTTAGTTGAAAAGGTGTCTAGATTGTGGAGTGCTGTAAATATTCATAACTTCAAGTGACATTCTTCCCCAGCTTTTCTCATTTCTGGTCGGTCTGGGGTTCTTACAGTTTAGGGCTGTGTACCTTGTAATTCATAGAAGGGGATAATTTTTTGAGTTGGGTTAAAGTGGGGCTAGCTTTAAGTTTTGGCATATTCTGATGCTATAGTTGTTATGCAGGTTCAAAGGAAGTTGCAGATTCAAATAGAAAACCAAGGGAAGCGTCTTCAGGTGATGTTTGAGAAACAAAGAGAGATGGAGGACAGCAAACACATGACATCATCATCCTCCTTGGACAGGCCCACGGTATTAACTTCCCACACAAGTGAGGGTCAAGAAACCTTAAATGAGGGTCAGGAAAAATCTGGAGTCAGCAATATCAATGCAAGAATCATGGACAAAGAATGTTCTGAGGATGCCTGCACAAGGCAAGAAGTGGAAGAAACTAAAGTTACTAATGAAGAAGAGGCGGGGTATGATCAGTTGGGTGCACCAGCCTCCAAACGGGTGAAAAGTAGATGACAGCAGAATTATCTTTGTGATGGCATTTAGTATCGCTGCTGCTTCTAGGGATAACATGTTCAAATTGCCCTGTTGATTTATTATTTCTTATCCGATTTGGGTAAAACCTTGTTTGCGAGCTGTGTTACTCCTGACATTTGTTGTAGACAAGGTTTTATATGTTTAGACTCTCTAGAACTTGTTAAAAGAAGTATTATTGGATCTGGGGAAATGTTTTTATGGTGTTTTGTGGCTGGCATGGGAACTTTAACCTTGGATGTTGGCTTCATGCATGAATTGGCTGTAGTATTCTAACTTGGTTTCAAAATCGGAATTTGTAATATCCCCGTTCCACATTAATGGTTGAATTGGACGTGTAATTCTAGAGCAAGCCCGGGGTATTTTCAGTATTAACTGATAATAATATCGAAGGAAGTTGGGGAAGGTTGTAAGTTAAATATTGTTTGGCGTTTATTACTCTCACTACTAAAACAACAAACTATAATGTAGGGAGAGTTAGAACGAGAAGTTAAAAATAACTTTAGATATCTATTTTTTTTATAGTTTTTAAAATATTAAAAAAAATAATTACACCTGAACCTTGAATCAAAGCAGCAGTTTATTTTGTTGGAACCAAGAGTATTTAACCCCTAACCATTTGCACGAAGACAGAGCACCAGTTTTATTTGCACAATAAACATCCCAGTATCCCACAACCAAAGCGCCGAAGAATCTAAAACGCATCCGCATTGTTTGAGTGAATCATTCCCATGAAAAGAAACAGTAAAGAAAGCGATTCCCGAGTCATCTCCAGGAGACCCAGGCTGCTGAGCAGCACTCGTCTCAAAATCTCTCTCCAAACTGTGCCCTAGAACTCCATATCATTTAAAAAAAATACAAATACAAATTCAGAATTCTCTCGATCGCCCTTTATCCACTACCATTATAACTAATTGATGAGTGAGACTCCGCTTTTGAATTCGACTACAGGAGCTCGGCTTATGGTTTGCCCTGTATAACTCCAATAGCTCCCAACCGTACCAATGATTGGCGTTTCATCTGGACTTCGGCTTTTCGACCTTCTCGAAGCTTTGCTTGATACAGAAAACTTCCTCAGCTCTTCCCAGCTCAACGCTCCAAGAATTGGCCTATCTTCATGACTCTCTGGTGATAACGAACTCCTTTTACTCACGGTTGTGGAAGCTTCCACAGAATTCTTAGCGTTCTTGGAGTCGGGTGTGGTTTCTATTTCCACCAACCAGCTCGAGAGGCTGGCATCGACTCCGATTTCTTCTTGATTTTTATCATCGAACTTCTTGTGTCTTGCTTCACCATTTGACACATTCAAACCAGACTCTTCGTTCTGGGGCATATCATTAACATCTTTCTCCGAATTGATGTTTTCCTTTTCGTATTTCAGTGGCTGTATTGGTGTTGCTTTTCCCACCCTCCCTTGAATTATATTTTCAATGGGAATCAGTACTGAGGACACATTTTGAATCCTTCCACGCCTGCCGACGAAAGATTCTGGCATTGGACTGTTAGCTTCATTATCCGCTTTTTCAGCTCCAGAAACTTGTTTTCTAGAATCAGTGGATAGAGAAAATAATGATTCCGAAGACTCTTCTTGAATCCACGTTCGATTAACTGCCCCATCTCCTTTGCCTCTTCCCTCATTTTCAGCATCATCAACAACAAATTCACCTTCACCCAAATCAAAATCGCCGCATTCCTCGTCAGAGCAATCTTGGTACCTATACCGAGAGAAGTGAGATGACTTTCCTGATGCTTTGGAGCTGGGGCATTCGCTTATTTGAGGTGTTTCGTCTTGGTCACCCCTTATTATTTGCAGGGCAGATGGCTCTTCATTGGTATTTACTTTCAAGTCAAAGTTCACTTTCCTATTGGCATTCCGTTTTGATGTCCCTTCAAGTTTAGTTATGAAGAAATCTGGGCTATCCTTTACTTTGACAGGCATTCCTTGAGCAAGATTTTCCTCTGCCTTGACGGGCTTTCCTTGAACTCCGTCGTGGCTTGACCCAAAAGAGCCAGGTCCCTTTTTTGTGTTTGAGGCAGCACCCCCGAGTGGCATAGGACCGTCAACTTCATACTCGGCTTTTTCATCTGCAGTAACCTGCTTACTAGAATCAATGGATAGAGAGAACAATGACTCTGAAGACTCTGCGAGAAGCGATTTTTGATTAACCTCATCTGCCTCTTCATGTTCACCTTTCTTTTCATCCTTCAAGCTGTCAGCAGTGGCCTCGGGACCATACTTTATGTGAGGGGTCGCTTCATTCCCTCTTCTCTCTGGCTCTGCAGTGCTTTCCTCCAACTTCTTTGCCTCCTTCGTAGAAAACTCTTCATAGGCGTTTGCACTTAGGTCATGCGTACTTTTCTTTATGCCCCTCTTAGATGATTGCTTTTCAAGTTTTATTCTGAACAAATTTACCAGATATAATGCCACGTGATGAACGGCGTAGCTAATCGTAATAATTAAGAAGCAGCTAAATGAGAAGAAAGAAAAAGATAAGAGAGTAAGCTCTGCAGTGGGAAAAAAAAATTCTATAAGCTTTGAGTAGGTCGGTATGGATAACTTACTTTGATCGTGTGTCGGTAATGGGTTCTTCAAGAATCGTTTGCTCTGCAGGTTGACGCTTGAGATCTTCATCTGCTACATGAGTCTGCAACCATAAAGTCAAAGAAAATAAGTCAGAGACAGAGGGGTGGGGGGATGGGTGGGACAGAAAGTATGTGAAAATGGAGAAAATGAGAGCATACTTGAAGGTGTTTTCGGCGTCTGGAGGCACCAAAACAAGGTAGAAAGCGCCTCATTATTAGGTGCTGATAGCTTGTAGAAAGTGCCTTTACATCTAAAGAAGAGAGAAGGCTGGCTTAGATTTCACAAGGGCGCATGCCAGAGCAAAACAGCCAAGAAAAGCTTCGGAATCTGGCTATCTGGAAGAACTTTCAAATAATTTGACCGTTGAGATTTTTTCTTTTGTTGCTGTTATTGTGGACCTTCCAAGTTGGGCCTATGTAATCCGTTTAATTGACCCACTTACTTCAATTATTATCCTCTCCCCCATCCCCCTTTCCCATTGACTTTTCAAATCATTATCCTCATCAAATATTTAAATATTTCAACCATAATTTCAAATGTTAAGCTGCTTACCTGTAACTCATCAACCAAGCAACTCATTTTTATACTTCGTGCAATGATCCACGTCTAGTTTATTATCAAATATCATGGGTGCATTGTATCTAAATTATTTAACTTAATTCAAATATTTGTTTTGGATAAGGCATGAATCGCATTATGTGTTTGACAAAAAGAACTGCAAAGCAAATATTATATTTGAATTTTCAATTTTAAAATTAGTAACTTAAATTGAGAATTTATTTTAAAAATAAAACATTTAGTAAGTTCAAATCAAGGCCGAATCATCCGTCTCGCTTGTCTATAAATATAATCAGATCCTCGCTTCTCCTCCCTCGCTTTTTATGAGCCTTTCTTTCATTTTCTTCTCCTCGTTCTCATCCCCATCTTTAGATTAAAAATTCAACAGTTGATAGTTGATATTTTATAGAAACTATTGACAATAAACAATAAATAAATTTATTTCAAAATAATTGTGTACCGAATATCATACACAATTATTTATTTTAAAATAAATGAATGAATGAAATTGATTACATTTATTTATTTTAAATAAATAAATTTAATTTAATTAATTTAAAATAAATAATTATTTAATAATGAATTCATATTAAAATAAATTAATTCTCCTAATTGTCCTCATTTATATATTTTAAAATAAATAAATAAAGTAAATTAAAATTCAATAGTGAAAATTTTAATCTAATGATGTGCTTGGCTCACAAAGGAGAATAGGAAAGAGAGAAAATAGAAGGAGAGAAAAGGAGGAAGAGAGAAAAGTGAGGAGATACAATTTTCTGTTATTGTGTGTGGTAGAGCAAGAAAAGAAAAGAAAAAAAAAGAAAAGTTATTAATTTTATATAAACAATAATAACTTTGTTATTTATAAAAAATTTATATGTAGTAAAATTTGATATTTTAACATATTATATATATATATAATAATTTCTATTATATATTATTGATTGGATAAAAACATATTTACAAATTATTTTATTCAATTTATAATTTATTTATTAAATTATTAAATATATAATAATATTAAAATTTTAAAACTATGACTAAAGATGGGGAACTTAACTGAAAATTTAGAATTAACATTTTTTAATTAATCTAAAAATTAAATATGCTACTAGTTTAACAAAAGTCATGATCAAAATGTAACTACATTATAAATATATAATTTAAAAATTAATGGGTAAATTCAAAAATAAAATTTTCTCTCTAAAATTTCTCCATATTAGAGAGAAAAATTAGAGATAAAAATATGCTAGCCTTGCATTTTATTTGTCTTTCACTTTTCTTTTCCTTTTACATTTATCTCCATAGCTAAGTATAAAAAAATTTTATTTCTTTCTCACTTTTCTCTCTCACTTTTTTCTTCTGCTAAACATAGCAAAAGGACGGGTGAGATGAGGGGAAAAAACAGGAGAACATTCAAATCCCTTATTTTCCGTTGCATCCGACAACAATAAAATATCCAAATCCCTAAAAATATGCATTGAATTTGAGAAATTTTTTAATTTGACCCAACTTATTTTTAAGTCCAGCTGAGATTGTGATTATTGGAATTTAATACAATTACGATAAAGTTTCTTAAATGATAATTATTTACAAAATATAAGCGTCAGGGCTTAGGCATGAGTGAAGCCAGAAAAAGAGGGAGGGATTAGACGCAAGAGTATCAAAGTATGAGAAATTTTTTAATGGACCCCACATATCACGTAATTCACAATTCATCTAATAAAATTATATAAATTTAATTAAATAAAATTTTATATATTATTATTTTTAATAAATTTATTTTTATACTAGAATGTCTACTTAATTTATTACATCTTTTGCTTTTTACCATCATCAATGTCCAGACTAATTTTTATTTAATGATCTGAATATTATATTTTTGTTGGATAGATCATTTATTCTTAATTCTTAATATAAGATAAAGTTAGAGTAAGTAATATTATTCTCCAATTTTGTCTCTTGTTTAATTATTATCATTTGAATTTTCAATAAAAATTTATTGTGATCATCAATTAATGAGAAGGATGGAATTGAAAAGTTATTTTTTTTAACAATTTTAAAGATATAACTATTTTTTAAATAGGTGTGAAATTAATTAAATCTACTTTATATTACAAGCTGGAGGAACTACTTTCATAGAAGCATGGTTAGTTAAACAATTTTCAAGAGATTGATGGGTAAAATTATTGCGAAGGAGGGAAGTTTCTAAAAAATATTTTATGTCAAGAGATAGAGGAAGTAATATTTTCACAAGCAGGCAACAACGTGTACAAATATTATACAATGTTTCCCCTGATTTAAAATATAAGAAGTTGAATCTTGATGCAAAATATAATTAAATTAATATTCATAAAAATACAGACAAAAGAACAAGTTGGCCCCTAAAGTTCACGAGCATCTCAAGAATTTAAATTTATTTTTAATCCAATATTTTTATTTAATTTTAAAACATGGTGTGATATGAGATCAATAGTTAGCAAAAATTAATTTTGACGGTTAATTGATAAAAAAAACATAAAAATATCAACAAATTATAATAAAATACATAAAAGTTATAGACAATAACACAAAAAAATTATAAAAGAGAATTAAGAAATAATAACACTGTTAATTTTATTTCAACAAATTTTTATATTAAACTTTTAAATATTGATAAAATATTTTTAAATTCAACATATTAATTTTAATTTTTTAAAAATAATAATGATTGACATAAAAAATAATAATTTAAAATTAAAAATGTTGTGATTGAATAACTGAAAAAAAATACACTATAAAATTAAAATATTAAATTAAAATTTATATAAAATTAAAGAATTAAAAATACATTATAATTTAAGGATAAAATTAAAAATTTATTAAATTTTTAAATGAAATTAAAAATTTTTAAATTGTTCTTAATTTCAGTAAAATATATTAAAAATAATTTATTGATAAAATTACATACGTAAGTATTTTCATTGGAAAGGAGCAAAAATTGGGGAAAGACATTGTAACTGTTAGATTACGGGGAACCCACCCAAGACGCCTTAAAATTTGGCGTCGGCCGGTGCGTTGGATTGGGCAACAGATTAAAAACTCAGTTCAGAGTTCACCGAGTCGTTTCCCCAGAGCTCTGTTGCTGCTTCACCATCCAAGCATTGGTATTTGGAGATCAACCAAATTAATTAATCGTCCCTTCCATTTATTCTAGTCATTGTCTTGTCCCACGTTTGTTCTAGGAGAGTTATTTCTTATTGTGCTTATTCATATTTTTATTAAAGTCAATTTTATTTAAAATAAAATAAAATATTAAATGCAGGCATATTTTTTTTAAATGGAACTCCAACCTCAATTTATTAAACTAAACCCTTCTATTATACTTTATTTATCCTAAGTTATAAAATAATTTAAGATAATATTATATGTATTAATCAAATATAACAATAACACTTTACAAACTTGTTTTTTTAAAAACAAAATTATGAACTTTAAAAAATGATCTCATATACTTAATCATCACGCTATAATATTATTTTAATTTTCTTTCCATTTAAAATTTGAAAGGTAACATTAAAAAATATAATTAATAAAACTGCATTTTTTAAAATGTTTTATACTTTAAGATAAAAAAAAAATTCTAAGTTTATCCTATGATTTAAGATGGAAATAGTACCAGATTTCTGTTAGTCTACGGATTTTTTTTTTTTTTTTGTGTGCTTTCGTTAATAGATTCTGTCCATTAGTTAATTGACTCCCTCATAATTATTACTCCATCAGTCAATATTACAGGCTATATTTAATCAAATTACACTTTAGTTAATTATTTTTAAAATTACATATTTTTTATGCTTATTTTTATTTAATATAATGTCTCAATTAAAAAATTTTATTAATTACACTATCTAACTGAGGATATTTTTGAAAAACTTTATTAATTACACATTGAAAATTCTGAAATATTTTAGAGCATATTTTTGAACGTTGTACCTTAAAAAATTATTTATATATTTTAACAGAGGGAATGTTTGCTACTCCATGTTTGATTAGACAATTATTATTAGCATTGTAAACACACATCCCCTCCATACCATAATTTGAGACACCACTTAAAAGTTTTTTTAATCCAAAACATAAGATATTGAATATTTCCTTTAGTTTTTTTATATAAATAACTTTCAATATTTTTACCAAAATCAAGAAAATTTTTGAACCTCATTAACTTCATGAACAAGGTTTTAACTTCAACCCTATTAAATATACATACATACATTAAAAACTAAATACTCTAACATTAAACAATTTCCACAATATTTAATAAGATTAAAAGAATAAAAATAGATATAACAATCATTCAGGTGCCTTATAAATATAATAAAAAGATATTTTTTCAGTCTTATAAATAAGGCTATAAGAGTAATTTTTATAATTACCTTTTTAATTACAGCCATATTTCATTTATTGAAAATTTTTAAAAGAATTATGTGTTAAAATTTTAATTATAATTATTAATTATCAAGAAACTTGTACATGAGGTATTTAATGAAAGTATGGTTGAAAGGTGTAATTTAAAAAAAAAAGTTTTAATTATTTTTTTTTTTAGAATTGTGAAATAATTACTGATAGTGACAGTGCATGTCGTGATGAGGAAAGAATATGAATACTTACACGTGCGCCGTGCGGGATCATGGACATGCTGTTCGAATTTTCCTCAACGAAGGCGAAGGGAAGAGAATCAGCTACCTTTTCTTCCCGCCC